CTCTCCCCACCCACTACCCCACCCCGCCTTCCCACTGAGATTCGTCAGTCTGTTCCATGCTTCTGTGTCTCTGGATCTATTTTGTTCATCAGCCTATTTTGTTTATTAGATTCCACATATGAGAGAGATCATGTAAAACTGAATCAGGAAGAATCAGGAAACCTGAATAGGCCAAGAACAAGTGATGAAATTGAAGCAGTAATAAAAAAACTCCCAGCAAACAAAAGCCCTGGTCCGGACAGCTTCACAGGGGAGCTTTCTAATACTTTGAAGTTGTAGGGTTAGATCGTTTACTAAAAATTTTTCTTGCTTTTTGAGGTAGGCCTGCACTGCTATGAACTTCCCTCTTAGGACCGCTTTTGCTGTGTCCCATGGATCTGGGGTTGCTGTGAGTTCATTTTCATTTGTTTCCAGGAAGTTTTTGATTTCTTTCTTGATCTTATTGGTAACCCATTCATTGTTTAATAACATGCTATTTAGCCTCCATGTGTTTGAATGCTTTTGAGTGTTTTTACTGTAGTTGATTTCTAATTTCATGCTCTTATGATCTNTAATTTCATGCCATTGTGATCTGAGATGCTTGATATGGTTTCAATCTTCTTGAACTTGTAGAAACTGGTTTTGTGTCCTAACGTGGTCTATCGTTGAGAATGACCCATGTGCACTTGAGAGGAATGTATATTCTGTAGCTCTGGGGTGAAATGTTCTGTAAATATCAAATATTAAATCCATCTGATCTAGTGTGCCATTTAGAGTCACTGTTTCTGTGTTGACTTTTTGTCTGGAAGATCTATCCAGTGAAGTCAGTGGGGTGTTAAAGTCCACGACTATGACTGTATTGCTGTTGATCTCTCCCTTAAAGTCCTTAAGGTTATTATNTATCCAGTGAAGTCAAAGGGAGAGTTTTAAAGCCTGAAATTGTTATCACTCTTGTGTTTATTCTGGTTATCCAAATAAGAACTAACATGACAGCCCTGGCCCGTGTGGCTCAGTTGGTCGGGTGTTGTTCGTGCACCGAAAGGTCGCTGGTTCGATTCCCAGTCAGGGCACATGCCTGGGTTGCAGGCCCCAGCCCCAGTAGGAGGAGTGCAGGAGGCAGCCGGTGGATGTTTCACTATCACGTGGATGTTTCTCATTCTCTCTCTCTCCCTCTCCCTTCCTCTCTCTAAAATCAATTTAAAAAAAAACCATTTAAAAAGGAAAACACTTTCTCTACTCACAAAACCCTTCTGACACCAAATGTTTGGGTTTCCCCCTCACAGTATGTAATTCTAACACTCATTACCTGTAGGCAGTGCTGACCCCACAGGTAAAGGGCTCAGTCCCAAAAGATGGCTCCCCACTTCAGACACCAATTGGAAGCAATGGGTCCCCCAGGTTACCCCCACTTCTGCCTTGGCTGCAAATCAAGTTTCCCATGACACCCTCCTCAGGTTTGATAATTTGCTCTAGTAGCTCCCAGAACTCAGGGAAAACCTTTACTTGCTATTACCGGCTTATTACAAAGGACAAAAATCAGGAAGAACCAGGTGGAAGAAATGCAGAGGGCAGGGTATGTGGGAGGGGCACAAGGCATCTGTGGCCTCTCAGGGTGCTCCACCCTCCCAGAACCTCAGTGTGCTCATCAACGTGGAAGCTCTCGGAACCCCTTTGTCTAGGGTCTTCACTGAGTTTCCATTAGGCACAATTGATTAAATCATTGGCCACTGGTGATTGTGTCCCCAGCTCCTCTCTCCACCCTAGAGGTCACGGATGGGGCTGAAAGTTTCAACCCTCTAATCACGTGGTTGGTTCTTTAGGCCATCACCCCAGTCCTCCAGGAGTTGCCTTATTAGCATAAACTCAAGTAAGGTAGAAAGGAGCTTATTAGGAATAACAATGGGTGTTCCTCTCATCTCTAACCCTCAGGAAATTCCAAGGGCTTTAGGAGATCTGTACCAGGAACTGGAGACAGAGAGCAAATATATATTTCTTATTATGTCAAAATATCATACGCATCATTAGAAGCAGTCCTCTTTTAAGTGTTCATATTGCAGTTAGTTTTCAATAACCTTAAATTGTCCTCTGAATTTATGATTATCCCTAGAGCTTTGGGTACATTATTTATTTAGCCAAATATTTTATGTGATGTTAAAAAGAAAGCCAATTGTAATAAATCAAATTTAAATTTCAATTCTTGTTGAATAAGTCATAAGCACCCTAGCTTAAAAAGACAAATTTTTAGTGTTGTTATTAAATTAGCATTTCAAGTAAATAAATGACTCCCTAAGTCTGAGTTAATGTTCATATTATTTAAGAGATTTTATCAATTAGTCTAGTGTTTTTAAAATATGTTTTTATTGATTTCAGAGAGAGGAAAGGGGAGGGAGAGAGAGACATGCCCTCCACCAGGGATTGAGCCTGCAACCTTGGCATGTGCCCTGACCAGGAATCGAACCTTGACCTCTTGGTTCCTGGGTCAACACTCAACCACTGAGCCACACCAGCCAGGCTAGCCTAGTTTTTTTTTTTTTAATGCAAAACTTATTAGTCAGAGTTGACATTAGAATAAAATGGGAGGTTAGAAATTATTATCAATACAAAGATACTTTTATTTATTTTTCAGTTACAGTGGATATACAATATTATATTAGTTTCAGGTGTACAACATAGTGATTAGACATTTATATAACTTATAAAGTGATCACCCCCATATGTCTAGCACCCATCTGACGCCATACATCGTTATTATAATGTTATTGACTATATTCCCTTTGCTGTACTTTACAACCCCATGACTATTATAATAACTGGAAATTTGTAGTTCTGAATCCCTTTTACCTTTTGCACCCACCCTCCCGATCCTCTCTAATCTGGTGACCACCAATTTGTTCTCTTTTACAAAGACTTTTTATGATTCTCTGAGGAACTGAAAGAAGGATTAGGGTGAGCAGAGCTGACTTGGCAGATGTAACTTAGTCTCCACTGCCAAGGCGTTTCTCCGCCTCTGCACAGAGGCAGCAGATAGAAATGGGAGGGCCTTTGCCCAGGGGAAAGGGTTCCCATCTGGAAAGGATGTGTCCCCCATTCCTTAAAGCTTTTTGATGGAGTTGCCAATATTTCCCCTACAGATGTGGTGGTAACCAGCTCAGCAATCACAGGAGGAAGCTGTTTGTGCAGACTTTACTTATCTGGAGGAGCGGGAGGGCAGGGAGTTAACACATGGAGAACACAGCAGATAAGACAAAAAGAAATGAGCCCAGTACTGCAGGGACAGGGGAAAAGACTGGGCAGAGCAGAACATATTGCAAAACTGTACAGCGTAGTTGCCGTAGGCTGCTATAAAATTTCAACCAACAGGCTTTGTGTGGGCTCCTGAGAAAGAAAATATGTCACACCAGAGTGTTGAGATTCTAGATAAAATTTAGATATGATGATTACAAACCCAGTTACAGGCCTTAACAATTCATATCTGCATATTTCAGTGTCACTTACTGTCTTCCATTTCCTAGGGATTGTTGGAAGGAAAAAGAAGGGGCTTGGTTTAAGGGTCTGTTAATACTGAGGCAGCAAACTTAATCCAGACTCAACTTTGAAGGGCTGCATGTTTCCATTCTTAGGGACTCTTTCTCAGTCTGTCTCCATTTCTGATGGAAATTTTAGATCATACGGTGATTACACTGTATGGAAATTTTAGATCATATGGTGATTACACTGCAGTGTCCTAAAGCAATGAGTACTGAGCTGCTTACACTCAATGATCAACAGTCCCTTACCGTAAGCTGTAAACTGTCCCCTTTCCTATGCTCTGTTAGGCGAATCCAACCTTGCTTTACCAATTATAATCAGATTTATGAGGCCTCCAGAGTAGAACAATGATGCTAGAACTACAAAGGATATTTCTTCCCCCACTACTATCCCCAATGGACTACCCTGGTGCTGACTGAGAAGACGGAGCTATGCTGATAAGAACTCCTCGATTTACCTGCAGAAATGCCTCTCTGACTAAGAACTCAAAAGGAATCCAGAACATTTCACAGAATACCATTTCCTGTTCTCAGTTTCACTCAGGACACATTTACTGAGCACTCTGCTGTTGGGCCCTTGTGTGTGACATCACACATGTGTGCTGGGGGACCATCCAAAGAATTGGGAGTTACTTCTTTTGGGAAACTTATAATTCAGTTACTAAGAAAAGAATGTGATGTGTGCCCGAGGCTGCTGGGAAACACTGTTGGGAAATAAAAGGTCAATGCCATGTTGAGTGCTAGGGACAGGCAGGCATGGAGAGGAGCTTGGGGGTGAGAGGGAAGAGAGCCACGCAGGGGAGAAGGGGGTGCTTACCCTCGCCTGAGTTAGTGAAGATTTGGGAAGGTGAGCATGATGAGATGTCGGTGGGAAACAGCTCAAATAAAGGTTTCCCGTTCCCCTGTGTAGACCTAGCACAGTGTAGACATTTAAGGTTGGCTGACTGTGCATGGGCTGCCGATTGGTTCTGTTGACGGTGGCAGGATTCAGAGCCGGGCGTGGTGCTTCTCCTCAGTGCTGCTGGGACCTGAGGGCATTGACTCGGGTTGGTGGGTGGGGTTGGATAAGCCCAGAAAACCCAACCGACCCCAAGCAGCCTCCTTCTGAGAGTCAGGCCTGGGCCCCAGCCTGCGTGCTGCCCCATTGAGCAGAGAGCTTTGGTGAGGCCCTGTGTTAGTTTTCCAGGACTGCCTTAGCAAAATACCACAGCCTGGGCTCAGACAATAGAAATTTATGCCTCACATTTCTGGAAGCCCAAGAGCAAGGTGAAGGCAGGGTTGGTCTCTTCTGAGGCCTCTACCCTTGGCTTGCAGACGGCGCCTTCTTGCTGTGTCTTCACATGGTCCTTCCTCTGTGTGCTCACACGTCTGTCCAAATTTCCTTTTTATATAAGGATACCAGTTGGATTGGATTAGGGTACACTCCAGTGGCCTCGTTGTAACTTGATCACTTCTCTAAAGGCCCTACCTCCAGATACAGTCATATTCTGAGGTACTGGGGGAACCCCTGGTTAGGACTTCAACATACAACTTTTGGGGGGACACATTAAATCCACAATGGTCTCTTTTCAGAGTCCCTTTGAACTCGATTTTGGAAACTCTGGGGCCCAAATCTACTCATTCTCTTCCCTTCCTGACTCTTAGGATCCCAAAGTCTTGTGGTTAACATGAGAGGAGGGTGGGTGCTTTGGAGGACAGGGGAGTGGTGTCCGCAGCAGTCCTCAGACTTAGGCAACAAGGGTCCTGTCCTGGGCTCCATACTTTAGGGACCCCTTCTCTGGCCTTCCTCTGGCTGTCCTCCCTATCAGATGAAATATCTGTAGGGCCAAGGAGATATGCCAACCTGGAGCGTGCCCCTTCCCTTCCAGTTCACACTCTGAGTGTCTAGGACCCCAGAATTCCCTGGCCAGCTGGCCCCAGCCCCCTCTAAGGAGTGACTTCAGTGGAGGTGGAGTTAAGGGGTGGAGCTTAGGCTGTCCACAGTCCTGCCTGTAAGGTGCTTGGTGGTGTAGGCACAGTGGGGAGAGAAAGGGGTGGGCCAGGAGCTAGGGTTGGGGGCAGGATCCTGCGGAACCCCTTACGTACTCCTGTCCTAGACAGAAATGGAAGGGATGGGCCCAAGTGTCTGAAGGTCAAAGCTAATGATGTGTTCAGTGTAACCAACCTGATCCCCCCAACACACACACACACACACACACACACACACACACACACACACACACACTTCCAGCATTGTTCTGACTTCTTGGCTATTTAGAGGTTTAAAAGTCGCTGCCACACTCCAAAGTGGTTGTTATGGTGGTGGAGCTGGGCAGCGCCAGGAACATCATTTTGTGAGTATTCAGCCTGGATCGCCTGTGGGGTAACGGGCAGTGTCAACCTGTCACCCAGANATGGTGGTGGAGCTGGGCAGCGCCAGGAACATCATTTTGTGAGTATCCAGCCTGGATCGCCTGTGGGGTAACGGGCAGTGTCAACCTGTCACCCAGAGGAGTTATGCCCCCCAGGCTTGCCCACTTAGCAGCGAGGACCCGGGCTCCAGTGTCTCTCAGGCTCTGGAAACAAACTCTCAACACTTCAGGTATCATCCTCCAGCAAATTGCTGGCTGTGCAGGACGTGATTCCTGGGGCAATGCTGTAACTTGCTTTTCTTGGCTCTGGGGCCCGAGAGCAGCTCCTCTAGGATTCAGATGCAGAAAGAGCATTGGAAACCACGGGGGCTCGTTTTTCAGCTGCTGTTAAGCTCCTGCTTCTTGGGAAGGGCAGATTCAGATCTAACAATCGGTACACCCTATAAACAATGGAAGGTGAAGGGAATTTCATCTGGAAGTCCAGAGATTTGCTTTATCTTTTTATTCCTAATTCTGTTGTCTTCTACTTTCTGTTTCATGCAGGGCCTCAGTTAGGTAAAAAAATAATTTTTTCAACAGTGTAGATAAACTATGAAGTTTTTATGTCTTGATTTTGGATTTCCCTGCGGCGTCCAACATGTGCTGTGCAGTTAAAGTGACAAAGGAAGGTTCTGGCTGCTGTGGCCTCACAGGATGCCTGCAGACGGTCACCTCACAGATGGCTTTGCTTGTAGGCCCAGGGAGTTGGTGTCTCAGTTCACGCAGGGTCTTCAGGCTGCGGACCTGGTTCACGGCCCAGAGGCTCATGAATGAGTGGTTGATTAACAAATGCCAGCTGATTCCTTTAAAATTAGATATAGAACTTCCAAGAGGAACAGACATATCCCTGGTCAGTACACTTATTTTTCAGTGGAAGAGTTTATTTGGGAAATTCAAATACTATCAGGAAGTAGCTCGGGTCCCATCGATTCAGAGCTAGTGCTTGGGACATTCCGGGAATCCTTTGGTCAGACTCATTGGAACAGTGGGTGTTGGAGTGCAAAGGGTATTAAAATACATCTTGGCTAACCACCCTTCCTCATTATGCAGATAAGGAAATGAGGCCCAGAGAGGTGAAGTGTCTTGCCCAGGGGCACACAGCAAGCTGGCTCAGACCCAATGCAAGTCTAGGCAACGTAGCGCCATGAGATAAGGTAGCACAAAGGATAAGACAATCACATTCTTCAGGCTCGTACACCCTGGGCTGAGTTCTGGCCCTGCCACTTAGCAGCAACAATAATAAAGACAACCAACATTTATTGAGCTCTTTCTACATGCCAGGTACCTTCTAAGTGCTTTATAGTCATTGCTACATCAGTTCTCACAACAACCCTATGAGGTAGGTATTATTATCTCCATTTTCTAAGGGGGAAACCGAGGCACAGAGCGATGCAGTAACTTGCCTGCGGTACATAGTAAGGGGTGGATGCAGGCTCCCAAATTGCAGAACCTGTATTCTTAACCTTTATGAACAAGTTCATGAACTTACCTGATGAGAATTGCCCTTGTCTGTAAAATAAGGTGACTGATCGCTCCTTGTAGGGTTGTGAGTGGATTAGAAATAATAGCCAAAATGTGTCTTATATCTAAAGGGCACTTAATGAAAAGCAGCATTTTTGTTACTTATAATTGATGTTGCTGTTTTACGAAACCACACTGTGTCCCCACTCCTTTGTGGAGGTTTTGGAAGTCCCCTGATCCTGTGGTTCTCAAAGTGTGCACTCGGCTTAGCAGCACGAGTATGTGGGTCCTTGTCAGAAGTGCACATTTTCAGGTTCCACCCCAGACCTACTGGATCAGGCCCTTGCAGGGAGGAGAGGTGGGGAGAATCCGTTCACCAGGCTCTGCAGCTAATTCTGAGGCTCAGTAAAGTCTGAGCCCACGGCCCTGGTCTTGCCACTGATATCTTTATAAACTCTTTCTTGTGGTGACTAATTAGCTGTGTCCCAAATTGGTGCTTCTTAGCTTCAGTTTCAGACAGTACCTTTCCCCATCTCATTGTGGGCTTCCATCATATCACCCCATCTCACAGCGTGTTTATCGCTCCTGTGGGGACCTGTTTGCAAAGAGATTTGAGCTTGGCAGTGGCTCCTCCTTAGGACCTGTCATTCCCAGTGCTGTGTGCTATGAAGGATGCGGGAGCCTGGGCAGAGAAGTCAGGAGACCCATGGCCCACCTCCAGCTGGGCTCCGTGTTCTCATTTCTGCAAGTCTCAGCATCACTGTGCCCTGTTTTCCCCATCCATCTATAAATCAGATATATGAAAAACCAGCTACCCTTTTCGATGTTAAAATTTTGTTTTGAAATAAGAGATATGAAAACTCTTGAAGAAGTATAGAATATTTATTGGCAAGTAAAGTCTCATTAATACAACCCCTTTTCCCCCTCTTGGTAGGTATTTTAAGATTCAGAAATGCTTCGTTTTGGGCGCCTTCCCTCTCTCTCTTTACAATGAATGCGCCCTCGACGTCTGGTGGGGGTGTGGCCAGGTGTGCTGCTGGGAAGTTCCCCCTTGACGCCTTTGCTGCCGTGTGTCTGTGAGTATGGCATTTGCAGCACCTCGCTGGGATGTGCACGTCGGGGCTGTTTTACCAACTTCCATTCACTGGCTACGGAATTCTCCGTCATTGAGTGATGTCTGGCCCGTGCTCTGTGTGCGGAGGAATCATCATGTTTTAAGCAAGAAAATCCAGGTGTTCTAGAGGAAGGCTGGCCACACCCACATGTGATTGGGCTTCAGGGCCACTGAGAGATGTGTCTTGTCCCCAAATGCTCCTGGTCCTATCATGTGACCACTGAGGATGAATTTCTCTTCTTTGAGGCCTGGCTGCTTTCACAAGCACCTCAGCAATCTTGCCTGTATTTCCTGTTTGCATCCTGCGTTGTGCCTTAGGAAAAAACGAACAGAATTGCCGGCCCATAGCTCCAATCATCTGATAAGAAGTTTCCTGAAAGCCCCATGCAAACTGCAAGCCCTGTAGGAGACGTCTGTGTCTGTTTTATCACTCGGTCACCAGCATCCAAAGCTACATTTTAAAAAAAAATGTTTTTATTGATTTTAGAGAGAGGGGAAGAGAGAGGGAGAGAGAAGCATCTATCGGCTGCCTCCTGCGCGCCCCCTACTGGGGATCGAGCCTGCAACCCCCGGCGTGTGCCCTGACTGGGAATTGAGCTGACAGCCTCTGGGTGCACTGGGCGGTGTTCAATCAACGGAGCCACATTGGCCAGGGCACCCTTTTAAAAACTGTACCAATTTCATAGATAAGTAAGTTGGTTTAGTTTACATTTTAAACATTTGGCAATGAGGTTTTCCCCCCAAGTTTTTTACCTGCTATTTATAGTCTCCCCTCCCTTTTCCATATGTGTGCTATTTGGGTGCTTATGGAGTTTTAAAGTTCATTATATATATAGTATATGAATCCTTAGTCATATCAGCCGCAAATATCTTCTGACTTTTTCGTTGCTGTTTATGATTTTAAAAAATAATTATAATAAGGACTTTAGTGAAATCCATTAATCTTTTACTTTGTAATTTCTTTCACTTGTTTATTCTTAGAAAGCTACTTTCAACACTTGAAAGTGTTAAAAAGTTACCTGTCTCCCATTGGAGGCTGGAGTGGCTTTGTGTTTGCTGGGCTGTTTTCCTTGCATCTCCCCGTGGTGTCGTGGTGTCGTGGGAAGTCCTGGCCACACACACGCATGTGTCTTCTCCCTATAGGTTCTTCACCCTGCTCGGCCTCGCCCTTCCTCTGGCTGGAACTGCCTACGTGGCAGCCAGGGGGTGGGGGTCAGACCACAAGGCGTCCCCCGCGCACGGGACACATTCGGCCACGTACGGGAGCCTGCCTTTGACAGAGACGGAGAGCAGCGAACCGGGAAACAGAACCCAGCGGCCGGGGGGCCGGGCCCATGTCTCACTGTCAGGAGCCGCGAGCAGAGGAAAAAGTAGGCATTTTAATAAACTGAGACTACTCGTGAGGGGGACTTAGGAAAAAACAAAACTGGAAAAGAGTTCCCGCAGTGCCCCCGCCTCGCGGATGCCCCGCAGCCCCTGAAGCCGGCGGAGGCTGGGCTCCGCTCGCGGCCCCGTCCGCTCACCATCAGCGAGGCCACTGAAAATGCTGCTTTATTTCTTGGGGACAGTTATCCAGTGTCTTTGTGCTGCTCAAAGACTAGGTCAGCGCAGAGCCTGGGTTCTCGGTAGTAATCCTCTAGGGAACAACTCCATGGTCACAGTGTCTATTTGCAGTGTCACAGGGCACAGGTGACTCAGCCTTCCTGGCGTGGCCAAGGGAAGCGACGTTCATGTGCAGGAAGCCAGGGCAGTGGGTGCGACGCAGCTGATTAAAACACTGCGGAGTGTATCTGAGCCAGAAGTGGGTAACCCCGACCCTGTGTAATGAGGGCTCTGCAGCGAGTCGCACTGGGTTGTGTTTTAGTTAAAAAATCAAGAGTGTTACCTGCATTTTCACCTTCCCATATGGCAGAGCAAGGAGAACACACACACACACCCTGAAACAAGAGGAGCCTTGTCATGCAAGTACCCTTAGAACACAAGATATAATTTTTGGCACAGCTGCTGTAGGTCCACTCGATTGTCCTTCCTTTACTCCAGCTGGGGAGATAAAAATAAAACAAAATTTCAATGAATGGACCAGAAGAACGCGAATATGTGACTGTCTTCAGGGAAGTACAGTCGATGCTGAAGGCATAGTCGTGATTTTATCAGGTTCTGTTTGGATCTTTAGGCAAAAACCCCAACAATAAGAAAAACAACAAAAAACATGTAGGTAGTCCCCAAATCCGAAGCTGGATATCCGCCTTGGGGCTCCCCGTGAGCCCATCATGATGGGGAGTGTTCGTTGCTAGGCTTCTTTACAGAGTCAGTCCCTGCTGTCCTGTATTTTCTACCCGTGGGCCCTAGTTTGGCCCTCCGGGGCCTCAGAAAATAGATCTACTTGCTTTCTTGTTTTGATGACAGCCCCATCAGATTTGGGGGACAGTTATTTATGATGGCCTCCCCCAAGGCTCAGAACCCCTCAATTATTTCTTATATGACCAGCTCCCCGGCTGCTGTGTAGAAAGTTCGAGGGTGGGTATGGTAAAAAGAGCTCAAGCTTAGCAGTCCCCATTCAAACCTGCCTCGATTTTTAACTCTGTCCTTGGTCAGGTTGTTTTACCTCTAGGAAACTCAGTTTCCACATGTGTAAAATGGGGGCACAGAATGGGGTTTGTTGAAGGAATTAAATGAGATCATATACTTGCCTCCTCCTAATTTGTTGTTCTTTCCCTCAACCTCCTCAGTTAAGCCAAGGGGATGGGGTGCGGGACAAGACCTCCTGTTACAGTGACCTTGCTGAGGTCCACTGGGTTCCAGGGACCTGCTGTGTGCTTCTAACTGTCACATCGAGGGGGAGCCTACAGTTAACAAAAGCCACCACTGCTGATCTTCAGTAGGAGGCTATCCCAAGAGCCCTGCTTTTTAAGGCCAGTTCACAGGATTTAAGGCAGACACACCTGGGATGGAGTCAGGAATTGGCCACTGAAATTTTAGCTTCGCCCAAAATGACACTCTCTATGATCAGAAAGGTTATATTAGCTTTTTTAACAGCTTCATTTAACTGTGGCCTCACAAGAGGGGGTTCCCATGTTCTGTTTCTGTAGCAATTTTTTTTTTTTTAATTTCATACCATCAGGGTAAAATATCACATCCCTGAATGTTTGAAAATAAAAATTGCAATGGAGAGACCCAAGGGTCAGCATTTTCTTCCCTCCGCTTTTACACTCACCAGTGAGTCAAATCAACATAAGACCCTGAGTCTTCTGGAGGTTTGGAGCCAGACTGGGGATTTCAGATTCCTGGTTCTTTATCCCCCGAATAATCCCCGCATTTGCTCAGCGTGGTTTCCTGTTACACGAGCTTGTCCTTTACCATTTCGATGAGGAAATATGAGCGAATGTTTGAGGATGTTTTTGTGAAGTGAAGAACTGTGGGTCTCAGGCCCTGGCGGTCAGGGCTCTTGCTCTGTGTTCATGGCTCCCAGTGGGCTCCCGGTATAATGAGAGACTCACAGCCAGCGGTTCTCAAATGTTGGTGAGAGTCAGAAACTCCTGGAGGGCTTCTCACCCCCAAAGATTCGGATTCAGTAGGTCTGGGGTCAGACCCGAGACTGTGCATTTCTAACTAGGTCCCAGGTGGTGGTCCAGGGACCCCCACTTTGAGAACCACTGACCACATGCATCGTCTCGCCTGCTCCCCCCTGTGCCCCTGTGCTTTATAATACTTTCCACTTACGAGTGAAATGGCGCTCAGAGAGGCTGTCTTCCCTAGTGAGCAGTTATTTTCAGAAGATTTTATAAGCTGCTGCTAGTTAAGTTGACCCACAAGTAGACTTTAGATGTAGTATGTACGTAGTATTTGCTTGCCAAGTTAGGCGTTGGGCCAGATGTTTGACAACTGTTCTCGAACCCTCACAAGAACCCTGCCAAAAATGTGCTTAATTTAAAAGTGAGGAAACAGGCTCAGGGAGGCTAAGAAACTTGGTGGAACTCGGCAGAGCCCAGGTCCTGCAGTCCGCGGCTCCTCGGGGAGCTGGGGGCATCCAGGGGACGCTGATCTAGGGCTGCTCATTGTGCTGGGGCTCTGCCAGTTCCTGGTGAGTGAAAAGCCCTCTAAGTGAGAGGCTGAGCTGCGTGCCTCCAGCAGGCACACTTGAAAGCGACTCCAGTGGAAACACACATAGTTATGGCTGCAACCTCAAAATGTTAGGCAATTACATTCTTCCATTTATGAAACTGATTTGGATTTCCAGAGCTTGGTTTTAAGCCAGCTGTCGCTTGTGAATAAGTCTGAATTCTGCAAGGACCTCTGGTGCCCATGATGTTTAAGGCACTAAGCTACGTCCAGGAGAAAATATGGGTCTCTTGGAGGCAGCTTGAGCTTTGGAGGCTCCTTTTCCACAATTGTAGCCACTTAATTGGCTCTCAGAATGAGTTAAATTAAAATTTAAAAATAAAGGGAATAAATTAAGTAGAAGGGATTAACTATTCTTAAAACAACAGGGTTTAAATAGTGAAGATATAGCTATGATATTATCTCATTTGTTCTTCACAATAAACCTGTGATTAAAGATCTACTTTGATTCCCATTTTGCAGATGTGGAAACTTAGGCACAGAGAAGTTAATTCACTTGCCAGAGGTCACAAAGTTAATAAGTGATAACCAGACTCAGAGCCAGGAAAGTCTAACTATAAGGTCTACACCCTTATCTCTGGGCCACCTGCCCCTCTGTTTTCCTAGCACCTTGACAGGTAGGGATGTTATTTGCAAGTGGTTCATTTTTGGGAGAGGACCAGGGATGCCATTTCTAGAAAAATGCTGGCCTCATGTGGTTTCTTAATGATGTCTAAGTTCCCCTCCCCCAATACTTCCTAACCCAGGACTGTGGTCAGGCACTGGCATCCCGGGGCCTGAACCTGGGCAGTGCATTCTGTGCAAGGCAGTGTAGGTGCCAACCTCAAGTCATGCCAGGCAGAGTCAAGATTCACTGGGGAGGGAGACCGAGTCTAAAGGTCTCCATCGTCCCCACATATAGATCAATAGGGGCGATGGAGAGCTGAGGTGGGCAGTCCAGGGTCACAGCGAGGGAGCGTCCGGGTGACAGCCAAGATCATTGGTGTGTGTTTGGCTCTTGCATGTGGGGCAGCATGTGGGTTGGTCTGGCTTTCGGGGCAGCAGTGACACCTTTGCTCTCGCCAGGATTTCTAGGAGCCATGGACCATGCTCTGAAATGCTTTTCTTGGCAGAAGAATGTGCCGGCCATCTGGTCTACCAAGGCGCCGGGGAGCACGTGCTCTGCGCTGAATGGCATCCGGGTCTTGAGTCTCCTGTGGATCATGTCGGGGCACACCGGCCAGATGACCGCCTGGCTGTCTCTGGGTGCGGAGAACCGAGGAGCCTTTATGAGCAGTCAAGGAAGAGCATCTCTCGTGTGAGGGGATCACGTTGGGCTGTAGGATGGGAAGTTGCAGCTTTGTTTCTGTTTTAGAGACGTGGCTGTGACTTCCCATAAATGAGTTTTCCAGGCCAGTGTCTGCTTTGCCTCCTCCAAGGTGTAAATCAGGCACCTGGCTGCCAGGTGAATAGTGATACCTGAGTATTGTATTTTCATTGTCCAAACAGCTGGGTTCCCTTGCATCATGATTAACGAAGCCAGAAACTAACATTATTTTTTTCTCCTGGAAAAACAGGCAAGAATAAATAAATATTGTGCATTAGTAAAATCAATGTTTCTCGACCTTTCCCAGTTGCTACACTCCTGAAGCACTCCCATCAAGCACTCCCAGGGGTGCTCTCTCCCCAGGGGCCAAATACATGTATCAGAATTGGGGAGGCATCCCAGGGTAGGGTGAATAACCTCCCTGGAGATCTGCACTGGTCCATGAACAGGTGATGCTGCTATAGGCCAAAGAGAGCTGAGGCCACTGTGAGAGCACAGAGGAGCTCGGAGCCTTAGTTACAATTAGGTATCCTAGTCATCGCCTTTTCTTTTTGGTCCAAGTTCGCGTTTTTGTTTTTTGTTTTTTTTTAAAAATATGTTTTTATTGATTTTAGAGAGGGGAAGGGAGAGGAAAAGAGAGACAGAAACAGCGATGAGAGAGAAACATTGATTACCTCCTGCACATCTCTTACTGGGGATCAAGCCCACAACCCGGGCATGTGCCCTGACTGGGGATGGAACCGGTGACCTCTTGGTTCCTGGTTTGACACCCAACCACTGAGCCACCCCTGCGGGGCCCAAGCGCCCCTCTTAAGTGAATTACAGGCATACATAAAACTCTCCCAATACAGCTGAAAGTTGAAGGTGTTCCTCTTGCTTTTTTCTGAAAAGATAAATCACATGATTTTCTTCCATTAAACAAACAGACACTGCTTTCTATGTTTGTTACAGATAATGTGCTTGAATGGAGAGCCAGAGTGCTTAAAAACCCGCTGTACCTTTATTCTCGGAGTGGCCCATTCTATCTTGGGGTTGACACATTTTTCCTGATCAGGTAATGCGGTGTGTGTTTTCCGCTGTTGGGCTTGCTGCTGTTCGCTTGGGGAGGTGTGTGTGCATTGCCATTCTCACTTAGGTGAGAAAAACCGAATGGCTCACATTTACTCACCTGGCCTTTGCTTCTGTCTATCTCGGGACAATACCACTGTCACAAGCTCCTCCCTTTGTATTTTCAGTATTAAATGAGTTAGGATGGCTCTCAAAAGTGAGCCTTTTACAAAAGGTGATTGTATTTCTCAAAATCATTTATTTCAATGGTTCTCAAATTCTAGTTCGTGGACCCACGCAAATCCAAGATAAAGTTTCCAGTTCTCACTACAGTAAAATGTGAAACAAGAAAAGAAAAGGATGTTATGTTTCATAAAGCTATGCTTATTTAAACTGACTACTGAGAGGTAACATTTCTTAATTGTTTGGTAAATGCCAGGTACTGTGTGACGTGCTTTGCAGCAGTGCCTCATTTAATCCTCATGATGTCCCAGTGTAGGGACCATTGTTAAAATCCCCATTTTGCTTAGTTGAGCTGAAATTCACATCAGTGGCACTTAGCACATTCACAGTATTGTACAACCACCAAACATTTTCATCACCCCCAAAGGAAATCTCATGCCCATTAAGAAGCTACTGTCCAGCTCCCCTCCCCAGAGTTTCTGGAAATCTGCTTTCTGTATCTGTGGATTTACCGTTCCAGCTATTTCATATGAACAGATTGCATAATACGTGGCCTTTTGTGCCCGGCTTCGGCCATTTAGCATGATGTTTTTGAAGTTCATCCAGCAAGCATCAGTACTTTATTCTTTTTATGGCTGAGTAATATTCCATTGTATGGATAGACCACAAAATCTCCACTTAGAAGAGAAGGAAGTTGAGGTTGAGGGAGATAGTCCTAGTGGACCCATGATTTAAACCCAGGCAGTCTGACTCTGAGTTCATGTCTCGGCTCCCATGCTGGCCTGCCTCTACCTCTTCTGAGGTCAGTATCCTTTCCTTCACAGGGAGATGGTGATGGCAGATAGCAGCTCTTTTAATCAGATGCTAAGCATTCATCAGTCCAACCATGATCTATTGAATATCTATTTTCCAGGCATTGTTCTAGGTCCTGAGATACATCAGTGGATATAACAAAGGAGCACCTCCTATAGTGCTTCCATTAGTGTGTGTGTACATGCATGGGAGACCAACAACAGGCATGTAAATAAATACGAAACAATCTGATAGTAATAAATATCAGGAAAGAAATAGCTAAGAAGGAGATAGAATGGGTATCTGTTTCAATGAGGTTGGAGAAGGCTTGTCTGATGAGGGGCGATTTGATCTGAGACCTGAATGGCAAGAAGCAGCCAGCCATGGGATCACTGAGGACAAGCGAGTCTCAGGCAGAAGGAGCAACTAGTGCAAAGGGCTAAGGCAAGAGAGGGTGAGCCTTGTTAAAGGGCGCGGGAGGCCACTGGTCACCCGGAGCCACCAGTGGGGAACTGAGACAACAGGAAGAAGGCTGAGGATAGTGCAGGGGTGTGTGTGTGTGTGGAGGGTGGGAGTGGGCAGAAATGAAGGCAGGAGAGAGGGATGGGACCTGGCCGCAGAGGACCTTGTAGCACTGCTGAGGAGTTTGGGCTGGAGTCTTGGTGAAATGGGAAGACGCTGGATTGCTTTAATTTGGAAAGTGATATCTGACATTTAAAAATGATCACTCTGCCTCCTGTGTTAATAATAGATCTAAGAAGGGCAGAAAGGAAACAAGGAGATCAATCAGGTGACCTTTGTTGAATTTCAGATGAGAAATGACAAGGCTTGGACTGGGCAATGGTGGCTGGGATCCAGAGGTCATGTTTAAGATATGTTTAAGAGCATGGCCGCATGGCTCAGTGGTAGAGGGTCAACCCACGAACCAGGAGGTCATGGTTTAATTCCCGGTCAGGGCACATGCCCAGGTTTTGGGCTCGATCCCCAGTAGGGGGCCTGCAGGAGGCAGCCGATCAATGACTCGCCCATCATTGATGTTTCTCTCTCTCTCTCTTCCTCTCCCTTCCTTTCTCTGAAATCAATAAAAACATTTTTTTTTAAATGTTGAAAAGAAAGATAAGTTTTAGAAGTGGAATTGTTAGAACTTGTTGATGGATTGGATATGAAATGTGAAAAGAACAGGGAGTTGAGGACAACTTCTAGGCTCTGGCTTTGGTCCCTGAGCAGACGGTGCTGTTAGTAATTCACATGGAAAATTGGTCAGGGGAGAAGCAGGGTTGGGGGAGGTAGGTCAAGCTTTCTGTTTTGGACAAGTTAAGATTAAGGGATCTTTTAGACATCCACGAAGAGACGTTAAGTAAGCAGTTGGCTCTGTATGTCTGGGGCTCAGTGGAAGCGTCAAGGCTGGAGACTGGAATTTCGGAGTAAGTGGGATATGGGCGGTTTTTAAAGCCACAGGACTGAATTAGATCATGCTGGGAGGGGCATGTGTGACAGATCGGGGCTGAATCCTAGGACAGTGTCCCAACCTTTGGGAGCTGGAAATAAGGGGAGTAGCCTGAAAAGGAGCCTGATGAACAAAAGTAAGGGATTGCTAACAACCATTCATTTTCTGCAGCACTTCCCTGACGTCCTGGTGGCTGGCTCCCTTTTCTCTGTCAGGTTTTTACTCAGATGTCACCTACACAGAAAGGCCTTTCTTGTCCCCTATTTAAAATGGATCCACCCAGCACTCTCCACTTCATTCTCCCTGATTTGTTTTTTCTCTTTAACTATTATAGCTACCTCTTTCTCTCTCTCATGCCTCTTTTCTCTCTTCCTTGCTTGTCTGTCTCCACTGGAATATAAGGCAGGATATTTTCTGTTTTGTGTGCTGCTATCTTCAGAGCCAAAAGCAGCACCAGGCGCATAGTATTGCTCAGTAAATAGTTGTTGAAATGATTTCTTAATTGTTTCATCTCNAGGTCATGGTTTAATTCCCGGTCAGGGCACATGCCCAGGTTTTGGGCTCGATCCCCAGTAGGGGGCCTGCAGGAGGCAGCCGATCAATGACTCGCCCATCATTGATGTTTCTCTCTCTCTCTCTTCCTCTCCCTTCCTTTCTCTGAAATCAATAAAAACATTTTTTTTTTTAATGTTGAAAAGAAAGATAAGTTTTAGAAGTGGAATTGTTAGAACTTGTTGATGGATTGGATATGAAATGTGAAAAGAACAGGGGGTTGAGGACAACTTCTAGGCTCTGGCTTTGGTCCCTGAGCAGACGGTGCTGTTAGTAATTCACATGGAAAATTGGTCAGGGGAGAAGCAGGGTTGGGGGAGGTAGGTCAAGCTTTCTGTTTTGGACAAGTTAAGATTAAGGGATCTTTTAGACATCCACGAAGAGACGTTAAGTAAGCAGTTGGCTCTGTATGTCTGGGGCTCAGTGGAAGCGTCAAGGCTGGAGACTGGAATTTCGGAGTAAGTGGGATATGGGCGGTTTTTAAAGCCACAGGACTGAATTAGATCATGCTGGGAGGGGCATGTGTGACAGATCGGGGCTGAATCCTAGGACAGTGTCCCAACCTTTGGGAGCTGGAAATAAGGGGAGTAGCCTGAAAAGGAGCCTGATGAACAAAAGTAAGGGATTGCTAACAACCATTCATTTTCTGCAGCACTTCCCTGACGTCCTGGTGGCTGGCTCCCTTTTCTCTGTCAGGTTTTTACTCAGATGTCACCTACACAGAAAGGCCTTTCTTGTCCCCTATTTAAAATGGATCCACCCAGCACTCTCCACTTCATTCTCCCTGATTTGTTTTTTCTCTTTAACTATTATAGCTACCTCTTTCTCTCTCTCATGCCTCTTTTCTCTCTTCCTTGCTTGTCTGTCTCCACTGGAATATAAGGCAGGATATTTTCTGTTTTGTGTGCTGCTATCTTCAGAGCCAAAAGCAGCACCAGGCGCATAGTATTGCTCAGTAAATAGTTGTTGAAATGATTTCTTAATTGTTTCATCTCAGGGCAATGCAGAAAAAGCAGGGTACAGAATAAGCTGAAACCTGTCCACTAGGCGGTGGCCAAGGTGACCACAGAGATTAGCCCAGACAGACAGGGTCAGAGTCCGCCACTGGCAGCAAACCCAGCAGAGATACGGAACCGCTGGGCACCAGAGTTTCCACCGGGGCACAGCTGAGTCTGACCAGGAGGTGAAGCCCCACTGTAGAGACCTCGGGCGGCCCCTGAGGGCAGGGAAGTCCACCCACAGCCCAGCCAAGACCAGAACTCTGCTTCCTGCAAAGGAGGCTAATAAAAACAAGGCCAAAACCCCCCACAAAAAACCCACACCATATGCTGAGTGCACTGACGGGCAGAGCTCCAAGCCTTGGAGGGCGGCTGGCACAGACAGATCGGGATGGCTGGAACCAAAGCCAAAACTCAAGCTGCAGAACCGCCACTAGGAGGGAAGAAACAAGGGCATGAGAGGCCACTGGTCATCCTGGGCCATCAGTGGGAAACGGATACAACAGAGAAGCCATCGGGTCAGCCCTGAGATATGCAAAACCTGGACCAGGTTACTGAAATTCCAAATGTCCAAGAAAACGACAAAGCTATGCCTCCCTCACACCTGGCTCAGCCTGAGGCCCAGAGAGGCTGTGCCTGTCATCAGTGGTTCTGAGAGTCTGGTCCAAACAGTGGCACCAGCACCATCTGGAAGCTTGTTAGAAATGCAGATTCTTAGGCTCCACCTGAACCCCCTGAATCAGACACTGGGCTGGCACTAGCCCTCCAGCTGCTGCGGCCGCGAAGGTCTGAGGGCCACTGAGTGAGCCGCAGGGAGAGATGCGGACGGTGGACAGGGAGGCCACGTAGATCCCAGCACTGTCTAGCAGACAAGGAAATGCTTCTTTTTCTTTATCTCTATTTCTTTTTATTTTCCATTGCCAATCTCAGTAACTATTTTTTTCCTTCCACTTTTCATTTTATTACTTTATAAAGTGCATATATATGTTCCTTCAAGTAAACTTTTTGTTTGAACAATGGAAACATTGCTAATAGTGATACCTGGTATGGTCATTACGTTAAGAGCTTAAAGTCTTCCATTCTATACAATTCTTACGATAAACTGATAGAGCCAAAACCAATAGTATGCCCATTTTTACAGATGAGAAAGTTGATGTTCAGAGATAAAAAATCACTTACCCAAGTCCCCCAGCTAGGAAAGGGAGAATCGAAGTGAGATATAATGTTAGTTTCATGGCAGGGCTATGTCTTAACCACTGTGTCACTGATGGGTTTACATAGGAATACCAAAGCCATGAATAATTGGCCAGCGATGGTCTAGAACCTTTCTCTACCTCTCAGGGTGACTTCCTACATCTCTACTGCAGGATTTCACTCTTTCCCGGTCTGTTTAGGTCTCCGGCTCTTAGTCTCCTGGAGCTACTTGTCTTGCTCAGAGCCTGCTTTCCTGCTGGCCTTTCCTTTGCCCTGTCTTCATGCACCCGAAGGCTGGACAGTGCATGACTACACACAGGCCTTGCTAGCAGCCACTCTGGAGGAGGGGGAGCCAATCACACTGGAAGGAAAGGCTTGCTCAGGCCCTGATTCTTTCTCTCCTGAAATTCAGAGGAGGCCAGAATCAGAATTGATGGTCCTAATTCCACATCTCAGCACTCTTTCTTAGATGTCTCTATAAATTCTGTTCCTATTACAGTGGCTACTATTTGCTGCATTTCAAAAGAAAATCTAGCTGTCAGAGAATAAAGACATCCCCCAATTCTCCAGCCCTCCCTGATCCCTTCCAAGTCTCACCCAACACACAGGCCTTTTGCACGGGAAACTCACCTGTTCTTTAAGGAAACACCCATAGGCTCCTTAGTATAAAAGTCAAAAGGCGGGGAAACTCACAAACTTGCTTACCATCAAGTTCTAACTCAAAGGCATAACTTCAGTTTCTTTTTTTTGTTAATCCTCACTTGAGGATATTTTCCCCATTGATTTTCAGAGGGTGGAAGGAAGAAAGGGAGGGAGGGAGAGAGAGAAAAAGAGAGAGAGAGAGAGAGAGAGAGAAACATCAATGTGAAAGAGACACATCAATTGGTTGCCTCCTGCATGCACCCCAGCTGGGGCCAGGGATTGAGCCTGCAACCCAGGTACATCCATGGGCCAACACTCTAACCACTGAGCAACACTGGCCAAGGCTAACCCCAGGNGCTGGGGCCAGGGATTGAGCCTGCAACCCAGGTACATCCATGGGCCAACACTCTAACCACTGAGCAACACTGGCCAAGGCTAACCCCAGGTGTTTTTTTTTTAATTTTTTTAAATACTCACCTGAGGATTGCCCCCCCCCCC